TAAATAACTGAGAATGACTAACAAGTAAAGTCGAAACGTTCGTTCGTTCCATATATTAATGATTGTAAAAAACTCTCACATCTTTTATATTACAGTTTAATATCTTAATAAACTTTTATCTTATTTTTAAGCTCATGTTTGACCTATCTTTCTATTCATTTGTTATCTTTTAAATATACTTATATCTACAACGATAAAAGAAGATTAAAATATAAGGCGCAATGGTATCACGATATGAACGACGACCATTCCCTCGATCTCGAAACAATTCACCGTCGCCCTAGCCGTCTGGCGAACACGGTAGACGGAGCCGAGAGTAGTCAGGGGCCCTGACCGTGGAAAGCAGAAAGAACTCAGGAAGGAAAAGAAGCCGCGGCACCCGAACCACCGGCGGTGGTAGTGCGCGTTCAAGGGCCCACGATGGTAGTGGGGCATCCGCAAGAGGGAGACCAGCCACAACAGCGAGGAGAAGGAACGACGATACATATATTCGTGCATACATGTACATATCCGCGTACACGTACCGCGAATACAAGATGGGGAGAGGGTAGGAGAGGGGGGAGGCGATCATTCTCGGAACTCGGGTGACCTCCCCCGGTGCAACTGGCGAACAGCCGGACCCGACGGGTTAACTGTACAACCACTTATATACCTCGAGATGCCGTAGGAATGCGGCGACGATGATGCCGTCGTTCCATGAAATAACGCGCGACATGCCGCGGCATGACATACCTCTCGTCGAGAATCATGCGTGTCCGCGCGAAGAACAGCCTGCGGGTAGAGAGAACCACCTTAGACTGGATGATCCCTGCGCGAGAGCGCGGATCACGTCATTCATTCACCTGTGCCGCCTCTACCGTTGACCGCCTCTACCGAACCTGTCGTCGTTCTGCTGCCAACTCGTCAACTGATCTATTGTTCCCCGTAAATCCCGACCGTTTGCGGATCGACGATTCATTCGAGTCGGATCGCGGAAGAGCCTTCTGCATCGCGTCTAAATCGCTCGAGCATCAACTTTTTTCACCTCGGATTGATTCGCTTGCGTTCACGTGCTGATTGTCTAATCACATTTTTGTGGGCGACGCGAACGCGCTGATTTTTCGCGACATTAACGGCAACATTTTTATACATTTTTATTATAATGGGAATGGGAAGAGAGTAGGTTTTTATTGCTTTATTCAGATATTTAGATGTTTTACTCTTGTATGTGATAATCCTACTTTCGAATAATGTATCTTTTTGTTTGTAAAATTTTTAGAATGCCTAATTAATTTTTGACTTGCACTCTGCAATGAGAAAAGAATAGGTTTTTTATTATTTAATATTATTTAAATGTTTTGCTCTTGTTAGGAATTTTTGAATAATACCGCTGTTTTCTTAAAATTTCTAAAATATTAATTAATTTTTAAACTAAATAAAAATAACTACAAAACGCAACTATCTTGAGAGCAAGACAAAATTATATCGAGATTTTCGAAAATCTTGAAATAATTTAGTTTTCACAACTATATTTATATCGTAATTATTAATTTAAGATGATTGATTTCTCTCTGAATATAAAGGGGAGAGAGAGAGAGAGGGAGAGAGAGAGAGAGAGAGAGAGAGATACTCGCAAAATGCTGTTTGTCAAGTCGTGAAATATGATTACTAACAACGAATGAGTCTGAAGCCCCAGAACGACTTGTTCGTTGCAGCGTTCACCTCGTAAAGTCCGGCGCTCATGAATATCGAATTACGGGAGCTAGATCGCGGAAGATCTTCGTTACCTCGTTCCACGTACCAGAACCGAAGGGTTTTTCTTCGTTTCGGTCGCTTCGCGCGCATGTGGCTCTGTCCGGTTTGGTCGAGTCATTCATTCGAATAGTTAGTCTCGTCTATGAAGTCCAGTACCGTTTTCTCACTTTTTATGGACCTTAGAATTGGATCATTTCGCTAACCGAACAAGTCTCTCTCGGTCGTTCCCCGTCTTCAATTCAGCTCCGATCATAGGGTTCTTGTCAGACCCCACGGTTCCAGTTTTATAAGAATACTATTATCGTTGATCCTGAGAATTCCATTGAAGCTCCACCGATAGACAGAAAGAGAGGAAATAAGAGATGGATAACGCTGACATACTTATGCTCTCGCAGCTGCATTATAATTAATTTCGCAATTGCTTTCGAAGAGATACTAACCATCGACAAGCAAGTAAACTTTACTTCGTTTACTTTCGCAAAAGTCGCAAGGATTGATCTTTGATTAATTCTTACTCTACTGTCGTGTGAGTTCAAATAGGAACTAGAAATACGTTAGAAATTATTTTTAAACTGACTCGCACTTTTCCTCGAAATATTTTCATTTTGCGTAACTCAATATAAATAAATAACTCATTTTACATCCCATGAAATTCAGTCCGTCCACGTCAATTCGTTCGCGAGGCTTCCTCGTGAGCTCGCAAAGTTCAACCTCGACTCGCTCGGAGTAGTGAATGGAAGGATTCGTCGCGGGATTGGCAGAACGCGGGGACGAGAGCGAGATGAGATCAGAGAGAGAGATGATATTCCGAAGTTGAGGAGAATTCTGCGGCGACGGTGTGCAATATGTGAGATATCCCTTTGGCTTGTGCGCCGTGTTAGATTGTGTACGCGATCCCGTCGTTCATTCACCTGTTACGTCTCTCTCCCGCCGTTCCTTTCCTCCTTCGTTCCATCCTGCTCGTTCGCTCGCCCGTTCGCTCTCGCTGCCTGCCTTTCTCCCTCATTCTTCGACGTGATTCTACCATGCTATTACTTGTACCATAGATCACGCTCGGTGGTCCGCGAGGTCGCGGAAAAGAGAGACAGAGATGAACGGAGGTCGAGGAAAGAGGTCTCGCGAGCTTGCAACGAAGCTAACGTTCTATCTCTTCTATATCGATCGCGTCACTAATGCGTGATTATTTTTGCGGATATCGTATAAATTGTTTTTTATGCCTCGTATTTTATTTTACATTAGTTATATTTGAAAAATCGTGTAAATTAGATGTTAATCTTAATTAGTATTCCAGTGGATCCGATATTTTTTTAATTATTATACGTTGTGAAAAATAAATAAGTTTAAGTTACACTTATTCCTTGGATTTCTGTCTTCAAAATGAAACAAATCGTTCAATTGTGTTAATTTTAAGCAAAGGAACATTAACTTAAAGTACACTAAATTTAAAACTACACTTAATTTAAAGAATACACCCGGAAATATTATATAAGGAAAGAACGATAAAGTATTTAAAAATTCAGTTAGACACGGATTTGGAAATAAGTTTATTAGATTATCAAAATAATCATGTAAAACTTGATGTAGAATATTCAAACTGATTGTTAAAATGTCAAAACTTTTTGCAGTATTGCTCATCATACTTGAATTTCTTACATAATTATTTTGATGGTCCAATAAAATTATTTTCAGATCTGTGTCTACTTACACTTTTAAATATGTACTTCGGCAAAATTGTTCTTTCTGTTACTAATCAAGAAAATTTTGGAGCGAATATCATTTAGGATGAACATATCTATAGATTTGCAGGTTGATTGTGTAATAATCAAACTTGATTTATACGTACCGAGTAACACCCAATCTAAATTAACGTATTTAACTTTATGTATATAAATATAAATGTACGGAAGCCTGAATGATCTGTGGCGAATGGATATTCAATATTGCAACAAACAATTAATGTCAAGGATACTTGTTACGTATTACGTCCATTTACTTATGGTTAGTCCGCCAATGATTTTACCTGTTGCCAAGCATTATAGTCCGCGTAACTCGAAGCGAAACTCGAGGCTTTGTCGTTCATTGACATCTTATTTATGAGCGGCGATCCTGGTCGAGTAAGCTTAGCCGTTCTTCGGTAGGCATGAAAGAGCGAGCGGTACATACGGCTGTATCTAGAAGAAGCCTCGCGGCTCTCCAAGCGCTTCGCTCCGATCGCAGAGATAGAAAAATCTGGAGAATGTCGAAGCTGTCGACCAGTTTCAAGAACTCACTGCCACATCGAAGAAAGAGAGAAAGATTATGCGTGTGTATGTGTGTGTATACATGCGCAAGTTGATTCTAGCACGGAGCCACCTTGTCTCCTTTGGTTTCGTTCTTATCGTGTTAAGTCCTTTTCTCTTTCTCTCCCTTCCTATCTCTTTTCTTCACTTTTTCCCTAATTTGGTGACGACGGTATGGCCCCTATTTTTGCATACCGACGTTGCAGTTCATCGGTGCACAACCTTACGGAATTCGCAAATAGATGCTTCTTACGCTCAGTGGAAGATCGAAGTATCTTGATACGACTGGCACGGAAATGTCACGAGACTTATGTACTGGAACTCAATCGAAAAGAATCGTTCATCATAGTAAATGAGTTATATAGAAAATTTTATTAATAATGTTACTTAATCCTAATTAGTATTTGTTTTGAAATTTTTTTAACTTGTATTTGCGGATTCAGCGTACTTTAAATGAATGTATCTTAAAATAATTAATGATTTTTTTCTTTTGAAGGACAAAATTTGAGAAATAAGATTATCTAACTAAAACTTATAAAAACTACGTCAACTTATAAAAAAACATTTGAAAAATTTATAAATAATTTTTTATTATATTTGGTGCATAAATATCTACTGGATTTGTGAATACCAATTAGGATTAAAAAAATTTTTAAGCAAGAACTTATAGTTTTAATTCACACTGAAAAAATTTTAATCATTTTTAGTTCAATGATCGTTCGCTTAATGTCCGATTTAATGTAGTTAATTCATTGATACAATAATTGGATTCATTTATATAACTATATATTCATTCTTGCAATGAATTCTAGTAATAGTTTTATAACATAAATCATGAGAGAATTTATTGGATCAGTTTTCATTATTTTTTCATAATTCAATGAATATTTTATTGTAATATTTGCATACAGTTTTGGTTCAGTGCATAATTAATTAAGTGTACAAACAAATTAAAAGTAACGACACTCTGAATTTTGTTTTGCACAGAAATCTCGCGATCGGGATTGGGATACAAAACTTCCCTGAAGGATTAGCGGTGGCTTTGCCCCTTCAAGCTGCCGGGATTAGCACGTTGAAGAGCTTCTGGTATGGCCAGCTCTCGGGGATGGTGGAGCCTATTGCTGGTGTCCTCGGCGCAGCTGGAGTGACGCTCGCTGCACCTGCACTACCTTATGCACTTGCCTTCGCGGCCGGTGCGATGATCTACGTTGTGATCGACGACATTATCCCGGAAGCGCATCAAAGGTATGTACCGTATAATCCACTTGTCCGGAAAAATTTGAAACTGCAAAACGACTCCTATTTACGCTTTTTTACAATGTTCCAAATAACGGACGCTTAACTCGCTCTCGAGATCGCTGCAACGCGATAGGAGTCTTTCTCGAAAATGTACAAATGACGTGATCTCAAGTTTATTCGAGCCTCGAAGCTATTCGACAAAAATCATAGATAATAAACCTGTTGAATGTTACCGATATCGACTACAACTACATTTCCGGTAAGGAACTTTATGGTCGCGTATTGGAAAATGCACGTGTTATTGAAAAAGAGTGGAAGGTGGTGTTGAATGCAGAAGGGTGAAGCCGGTTCGCGAAAAGGGAGTTGGGCGCAACTCGTTCCCTTAACTGGTTCCGGCTTCTCCTCATTCTTTTTTCTCTCCCTTCTCCTCTCTCTCGCTCTCACTCTTTCTCTTCGTTTTTTTTAAACACCGTTTACATCAGAGGCACCAGTCCACAGTGCACTTGCACCCATTTCCGTCTCACGTTTCACCCTCTGCCCATTCACGACGAATTAGAAATCCAGACCTAGTCTTGGAGTCAGAAGGACGGAAGGCGCTTTTCCCACCAACACAATAGTCCTTTATTTCGGGATTTATTCTCTCATCCTCGGGCGCGGATGCGCGGATAGCCGTTCGATGGCAATCTTTTGACAACGCGCGATCCTCCAATCCAATCATCCTTCTCTTTGACAATGAATGTAAGCGTTATTTTTTCGTTCACAATTGTAACCAGTACACAGTTTCATTTATTATCGCTCTTTGTTTTTTTTAGAAATATTATCTACACTATATAAAATAAATAATACCGATCAATTTGTAGATACTTAAGAAGACAGTATGTACGATCAATTACGCAATCAAAATTTAGATTGCCAGCTCAACGCAGCAGTCGTGTAAAACTTTATATTTATATATATCTTTTCTATATTTCTTTTATAACTTATTAGATTTATGAAATTTATATCAAGTTAACTGAAAATAATTTCTTTCATTCGTTTTATTTAATATCCGTTTATTTAATTTTATATCACGTAATAGGTTATCAGCTTTGCGATCGGTTAATTAATGGTCAACCTAACGTGACGAACTCATATATACTGTAACTCATGTATACCCTTTACTTGTATATTCTTCATTCGATCCGAAGTCGCTAGAATTCAGCGAGATCATTCCGGCGACCGCGCGAAATGTCCGGATTCCATTTTGACCGTACAGAGCACCGAAGCGCATAAATATAGAGAGGAAAAAATTCGTGTCGCGTATGTCCTATGAATTTCTACTCCGTGTCAAGCGGACGCGCACACATGTACCTCTACATACATACTCGCACGCACAAACGTATATCCAAGTATCTACGATGTCCGTATTCGAGAGCGATTACGGTACAATGGCGCGTGACGGCAGTGCCGTAGTTAGCGCGCCGCTGGCAAAACGGACGTGGCGAATTTCTTTCCCAGGCCTGGCGGCGGCCTAGCTGAAGAAGGTGCATTGTCATTATAATTGGCTCCTTTTGTATTTCGCGTGCGATCTAACCGCCCGGATACTCGAGCGCGAGCGCACGGTACGCGCGTTCTCTCTCTCTCTCTCTCTCTTTCTCTTTCTCCTTTTCTCGTCGCGATTCTCTCGTCGAGGATCCCCTGAGACAGTCGGCTTCAACTCGCTCCCTCGGGAACCCTCCGGGTGGCCGGAAAACACAAAAGTGAAAACAGATCGCTCGTTCTCTCCCGTCTTTCTTCTTCTACTTCATGGAAACCGTTGCTCGACTTCCACGAAAGAAGAGTCAAGTGATTCTTTTTCGAGGAGAATCAATCGATCTCGAATTGCATTTGCATAGATATGCGTGGTCTAACTTCGTTTTTTTACATGAAAAGAATGGTTTTGTCTAAAAATGTCGTGTATCTAAAAATTTAGCTGTAAGATACAGAAAATAAATTTTGTTGGAACATTAAGATAATTAGATATATTAGACTTTATCAAACGCAAAAATTACAATTGCCAAATTTTAAAAACATGTAGACATGGTTTGAAAATATTGTATATACAATTTTAAGCTTAAATAAACGAAATTACTTTCTGATCAACATAATAGCTAATATTTTTAGATATTTCAGTAAAATTGTTCTTTCCGCATAATGTATACAGTAGATATATTTTTGAAATTCTAACAATCACATCCGAGAAGTATGATCAAGCCTTTAGAAGAGATATTTCCTTATTTATATTTTTGTGCATATACAAATGTTAATACGCGTATTATTAGCAAATTGTTATTCCTAAGAAATGGCTATGAATACGCCTGTAAGTGCCGTAAGTGCCCAACTTGCAACCTGTAATATTTGTGTTACTGTCGAGCCATGAGAGTTATACTTGCTAAGTCCACACTTGCTTCATTTCAACGACGTGTAAAAAATTATGGGTTGGACAACGACTTGCATTAACGACTTTCGTAAACTAATCTCGATTAGAAAAAGCTTTTTAAGGGTTAACTAATTGAAACTAGAATTATAAATGAGGAAAAAATTATAAAATTATTTGCGCTTATATGAGCAAAAATTGGGCCACAAATACAACATTAATTTAAGTCCATGAAAAGAGGACAATCGGAATATATGAGATTCCTTCGAATTCCTTCACGACTACGGTACTTTCGACGAGGAACACCGGCAAAAATCGACGCGGCTCGGCTCAATTCGGAACGATCGCCCCTCGTGCAATTTGCATTTTCCTCTGCTCGGCGAAAAGGAACGCTTGCTTCGCCGATGATGTACCCGTGTTATATGTTCGATACAGCCGAGCAACGTAGGAATATTTAAATTTATTATCCTATCTTGAAACTTTCACTTACATATTCGCACTCGAATGTCAAGTTGGCCGATGTTTCCTTCTGCAATTGTGCAGTTTTGATTATGACAGCTTTATAAAACTAGCAGAACCGAATCAGTAGAATCAAATCGGACCTTTTTATCGGAATTTTTAGTACTCATTTTATTTTACTAAATTGTTTTAATGGTAATTTTGTACCGTGTGCCATTTCGAAAAAAATCGTGATAATGCTACCTTAATATTAAGATGGCAGGACTAATTTAAAATAAAAGAAAAAAAGAAAAATAATGTCAGAAATCAATAGGATTGAATTTGTACTATTTTGTACTATACCAAAAACAATTTTATATTATGTATTAGGTGTTGGAATTAATTCGTAGCGTTTTACAAGTGATGGGAAGTACTTTCATTAATGTATTTTTTAATGCTCATGTGAAATAAATAACATTCTTTCATTAAAAACGCTACGAATTAATTCCAACACCTAATATTATTTCCAAGAAAATAATAGTGCTGCTAATTTAATATTTAAGTTGGCAAGACTATAAGAAAACAACACAAGGGCAAAAATTAACACAGCTGATTTTATGATATGTACCATTGAATGAAAATAAGTTAATACTTTACATGGTTTCTCCTTTTAAAATGACTTTATTAGTATATATGTATTTACAATTTATGAAACATTCTACACGTGTCTCATTTTTATCTGTAGTAATACTAATAATATGTTAGCAAATTTAAAAAAATGACAATGTTTCAAAGGTACCCGGTTTGACGTAGATTGTAAGTATATACTAATAAAGTCATTTTAAGGAGAAAACATGTAAAGTATTAACTTACGTTCAATGGTACAAATTCAGCTATGCATGTCCAAGTGTGTAATAAGTGCTTTCATATATGTATGTGATTTATAACCATTAGATAGTGCATTAGCACATAGTACGCACTGATGCATAGTAAAGCCATTGTACAGTAATTTAATCTGAGTGTAAAAATAAAATGCAAACATTTCGAATTATAAAATATTTTAAAATATTTTACTTACAGCATAATGAAGTGTATTGAGTATTTTAATTTAATCGATTTCTATATTTATAATGAACACATATCCTTACATCAATTTATGTACGATGAGTTTAATGTGCATCAGTGCGTACTGAGTGCATCCAATTGAATTCGCTGTTATTGTTAGTTTTCCATATAAAAACAACTATTATACACATTTAAATGTATACATCTATTTTTGTATGCAGAATAATGTATATTATTTTAATGTTAAAACTCAATCACACATATATAAAATCATTTATTACATACTTTGATTTGTGTATCAATCCAGAAGTCAATGCGATTTAATACACGAAGTATTCAATAATATGATATGATGTTCGAACATGAATAGTTTCAAAGTTTTAAGAAATGAGGAAGTACCGGGAGAATATTAAATTTTATCGCGAAGAGTACAACGTACTGTCAGTATCACGTCATGCTGAATAAAGGATAAATCGGATCGAGGATCGGTTCTTAGCGGATGCGTTTGTTTAGCGGATGCGAATCGCGACATGACTTGACTCGGCGCCCCAGTTTCGCCGAGCAAGCGACGACGATGACGACGAAGATGACGATGGGGAAGGGGGGGAGCGAACATTGTTATCCCGGCTACCATTGCGATGAGACACGATAATGGCCAATAAAAATACAAATTTTCTGACGCACACCGAAAGGAGGTATTTACCGCGCGGATATGATTGATGTGGTAGAACGCCCACCGAAATACAACGGCGCGTTTCGCCGGCCGTTAAAATTGATGGCCGTGTATAATTTACGAAATCAACAAGCCGTGACGTGCAATACCGGGGTATATACGCGCGGCGCGGCGCGGCACGGCGAGTGTGTGCTTTGTATGTGCTTAATCCCTACTTACTTGCCGCGAAAACCCTTTTATTTCTCGCCATCCTGGGGCTCTCTTTCTCCCAGGTCGTTGCCACGGAGCCATAGGAGCAGAGAAGACGATGACGATAGCGGTGGGCGACGGCGCCAGTGCTGCCTTTTTAATTCCCCGCATTCTTGTTACCCCTCGTTCTCCATCTTGGTCCACCATGTCTTTCTCTCTCTCTCTCTCTCTTTTGATTTTTACATTCGATCCATACACTACCGATTACACTAATTAAAATTCCCTCCCGTTTCTTTGCCGTTCATGCATCACGCTGCCACCAAATCGTAGATTTTAAAAGAATTTGACACGCGTGCGACCATCCTGTCCTTGTTGGAGTTTTTTGGGAGGCAGAATTACACAGATAAGATTGTGGAAACGAATAATGACTGATAAATTCAACGTTACTATATACATAAGTTGTTATGAATCAAATGGAGCATCTTAAATTTTGAACAGTTTTTTTGCGATTTTATATGCGAATCTCTTCTGGATCTTAATGCGTGTGCCACGCGCGCTTTCTGTTTACAGCGGAAACGGCAAACTCGCCAGCTGGGCCGCCATCGTCGGTTTCTTGGTGATGATGTCCTTAGACGTTGGCCTAGGTTAAGGACATCGTCCCCAAAGTAGTCACGGCGCGTTCACATTCTTGTAAATGTGCATTCAAATCATGTGGTAATGGTAACAAGTGTTCACAGTTTATAACGACGTCTCCTTAATTCGCAGCATTCACCGAATAGTAATGCGTTTTCTCGCAAAGAAGTCAAAAAGTGATGCTAGCGAATATTTTCCAGTGTTTTCGTCCGCCGTTGCGTACGATACTTTTATCCTTAAAGACTCAGGAGAATCGAAGAGTAGCGAAATAAGAAATGTTTCCAATTAGGTTTGAGATGTGCTGTCGTGATTCCTGATAGTCATCGAACGAAACAGAGGTATAAAAAATTATACATATATATTAAGACTCGTCTGTATTGATCGATGTTCGATTGACGCTAGTGGAGGCTAAGTTGTGTAATCGCTCAACAATTTTCTAAACCGGTAGATATTTTTCTAGAACGCATTTCACTTCATAAATGTCTTCCTCGTATCTAGTCCTCGTCGAATTCCAGAAATCGAAGACATACGATAACCTGGTTGACTGAACTTAAAATCGAACATCGAAATTAATGTCTGTCAGGATTCACCGAGATAATTGCAAGATACAATTGCGAAAATTCTGTCGGTAGATAAAGCAAATAAAATAACGTACAGCGTCGAGAACTGTTAGGAAAAAATCAACGTCTCAAGCAATTTTTTCATTAGAAGTATCCAATACGTAGATAGATTTATATAGATATTATGATATATTATATACAAGGTGTCTCAAAACCCACGTCCTTTTAAGAACGAATTCTTTGGAACATTCTAAGATGAAAATGTTGAGGTTATAATAGTTTTAAAATAGTTTTTATAATAGTTTTTAAATTAGCGTATATATATATATATATATACATACATACATACATACATGCATGCATACATATATACTTTCGTAGTATACAAAAGGTTGTGTACAAAAAATGTCAAGCTATTTGTTCCTGAAAATATCATCTGCGATATTTCTTATATATTAAATTGACCTATGTGAGCGAATTAATAACGCATTCTGAGTATCCAAAAAAGAAAAAATTCTGCACAAAGTATTTTTAAAAATAATAGGGTTTTTTATTTTTGATTCTATTAATTATTGAAATCTCGCTGTGTGTTTTGGGAAACACTAGGTTTTTTGTTTTAACACATTCCGATTATAAACAACAAAAAACATCAACATCATTATAAAAAACAAAAAACAATAACAGATGAATATGTGAATAGCATCATGGTGTAAGAACAGATGTAATATTGCGTATAATGATAGCTGAATATAATTTGAGGCAAATTTCTGATTAGTGATAAATTTTTAATAGTGGCTTTATATTGGATTATAAAATTTGAAGCTAATTTCTAATTGGTCACAAATGTTGTCATTACTTGGAACGACTGCGTATTCTTGAAATTGATTCACTTTGGCTTTCTTACATTATGAATAACACAACTAGTATGAAACATACTAAGTATGAAAATGTCTTTTTTGTTTGAGATAGATCGTGTGTCGTATTAATAATATTCCGATTATCACGGAGAAAAATTTTTCTTATTAGAATTTATCCTAAAATCACTAATGATAAATCGTAGGACAATATGATATTTCAAATATTATAATTTTATGTGATTTTCTCTAATTTAAGTTACGTTCCAAAACTCTCTCTGAGGAAAATTTTACTTGAAATATATGCACACAACATATTCTATAGCATATAGAGTAAAATCTTTCTCAGAGAGGAAGTTTTGGAACGTAGCCTTAATATGTTTGATTAATTTTACTAAAAAAATATAGTAAAATTTCAGTAATTTTAAAATATTTTAAATAATTCATGATTCCTTATTGTTTTATACAGATACCAAATAGCGATAAATATATAAAATGCCTTATTTAAATCTAATAATTTAATAACATAATAACAACTAATCTATATTAAAATGTAATATGTTAATTTTACTCATTGTAAATACTTTACTATAGAATAATTTATATGTACAATTTACTTGGTAATTTTTATTATTAATTATAGAAAAATTTCTTTTATATATTTCCAAAATTTTTATTATTACCATATTATTTAATAGATTGTTAAAAATTGTTCTACATTTATCACTTGATAACATTTGTAGCGAATTTTAAAATAAAGAAAAATTCTCTTTATGTACTTAGTGATATAAAACTTGTAATTTTCAATTTTCATGTCTTGAATAGTGGATTCAAATTGCTTATCACTTTCCTATTTTTTACAGTCCGTCACTTTTATATCATGTTTTTAGTATCTTATATATTGAAAAATGTTATTATCTTATTAAAAAATTATATTGTAATACATATTTATTATATATAATATTTTAATTTTTAATAATATTTTTATCAGCAACAATTGAGTTAACTGATCATTTTGTTATTACTTATATTTCATTAAAAATAAAATAAAATTTTATTTTAAAGTTTTTTTCATCTTTTCACACTCATATATATCTTTTTATTCAGAACGAAGTTAAAGTGGTAGATAGAATCAAGATTATCTAATAAAATCATTTTGATATTATCTTTTCTCAACGTATCCAATGTTCTCCGAAGACCATCGATTGTTTCATTAATTAGTTTCAAAAATACCTATATTATTACTTAACCAACATCTGAGTAAATGTTGGTATTCACGAAATCTAAACTGGTTTGACCACGGAATTAGTTTGTTCTCAAATCAACATTCGCGTGTTTCCGATTCACTGCCGCCTTATTCATTCCCCTCTAATGAGAGGCCTACCATCGCATTATGCAAATTCGTTTGCGCCTTTCTGAAACGGAGTTTTCTCGAAAGAGTACGAATTTCGCAACTTGCATGTGTCTCTCGTGCGCGCACGCAATCACCGACTATGCTCTCGTGCCTGGTAGGCAATAAATATGCGTATAGGTAAACCTATACGCATATTTATTGCGTTACAATGTGCCCTTTCTAATCACAGACCGCGCGCACGATGCAATTTCGTTCTTGTAGCGACGTGCCGTTTATCTCAGAGCACGTAACGAGGTTGCCATTATACCCGTTGGCGCAAAAATAGATCACCTCGCGGATACACGACTCTCTCGTCTACGATATTTCCTTTAAAGAAACATCTAAATCATCGAATAATTGGTCATTATGAAAACAAATGTAACGCTATTTAAAAAAGAATAAGTGACCTTGAATTTTTGAAAAAAAGATTCAATTCTTTTGGACCACAAGTTATAGTATGAAATAGATGAATGTTTCTTTACAGTTTTTATTTTAAACTATTGCAAAAATCTACACTATTGTAAACTGTTAGGAACGTCCTGTATATATGTATATAAAAGAAAAATGTCTGGTTGGATTAATTGGAATTCTGATTAAAAATGGACGAAACAAAATTTTCTAGAAATCTTCTGAAATCTACTAAATTCTCGTTGAAATAAACGAAATTTGGATTGACATCATCAAAATCTTAATTCTGGTTCGTCCATTTTTAACCAGATATTTTTCTCAATGTATATATGAAATTTTTAGTTTATCAACAAAAATAAACTTGGACTCTCGGTCATTCAACAATAAAAATGTAAATATTTTCAAATCAAACGGACAAGTGAGAGTGACTCTCCGGATTCTTTTATATATTCTTGAAATATGTTTATTTTGCAAATTTAATATAAGTTTTGACGCCGTAGAAGACAGACTTAAAGACAATCATAAGCACAGACAAATGTTGCAAAAATTGTTTAAAAAAATGAACTTCTCATTTTGGCAAACAACGATGTCATTGTTTTCCAAAAATCAACTGATAGAAAAGAGCCCGAACTAAGAAATTCGAGGCCACACCCGTTGCGAACCGGAAAAAATACTGCGAAACACACAAGCATTATTTTGTTGAAGATGGCTCAAAGTGAACCGAAACGTTCGAGACTTTTAAAATATTTATATTTTTATTGTTATATCGTCGGAACTTTAGCTGTGTTCAGCAGAGAAAACTAATCAGTGAACGCTCAGTGATTCTTTAATACGATCAGTGCTCACACTTATATCCAGCAAAGAATCAATCGTGTTAAAGAATCACTGAGCGCTCACTGATCAGTTTTTTTCTACTGAACGCAGATATTGAGTTTTCTAACTCTAAAATGTAATTTCTTTATATGAGTAATTCACACATGACAAACTATGAACGTAAATCTTTCGTATTCTGTTTTTATTATTAAGATAGTTGCGAGATCGACATTTCTCGATAGACGTATTCGCAGCAATTGAAAGGCACAAATCGATCATTGATATCCGATTCTCGACGCTGTACGCTTATATAAGATACAGAGACTATATTTTGATACATGCTGTCGGTAAACCATCTTAAAGTATTAGCAATATATGTATGCGCACGTATGTATGAAGCTGTGGTGTAAGACGACAAGATGGAACCTTGTCGTGGATGACAGCAAGATCATTGGTACGATCAGTTGGTCTCAAATCCTGAAAAGCAATATGGTCGCTTAACATTGATATTATTATTTAGACACATCAATATAATTAATTAATCATGTTGGATTGGGGACCAACTTTTTAATATGATAAGTGTTCTGTTACGCTGTCGCTATTGCGTTACAGCTTGTCCTCTTATTTTTCACATCTAGGATTGTATTTCTCTATATTAATTTTATTAAATAAATCAGATTTGCGGATGTCGAAAAGTATCTTTGGCACGATGGTTTTAACTAACATACCGCGATAAATCGACGAGAACTGTCTGTTTATTAGCATTTATTGGAACAGATCGATGCTGCTTTATAGAATCGATACTTTACAAGATTAAGATTGTCAATTCCAAGAGTCAATTGGACTTTCTTACGAAGAATTTTTCTTGTCGCGTGAACGACCGCTAATAGATCTTCTCGGCGATCCTCAATCTAAACGATCGATACCATTTACAATATTATTCGAAGAAAAGTACCGGCGCTTGGTTTATATTAAACCAGTGCGAATGAGCCGTTCAAGCTTCGATGATAGAAGTGAAGGTCTTCTCGATCAACGTCGACGGCGTCACGTCGATGATTATGACGTGCGCGAGCGGTGCTTTAGCGAAATGTATCTTCTGTAATTAATAATGTAATTATGTAATTATACAGATTATCATATTGTACCTAGATAGTTAGCACAGTCAATTGTAAAATGCGCGCGAACGTTTATGTGAGTTATTAAAATTTACGCCTGCCTGCTGTTTCGTTGATTTGGCGATTAGTACTTTATTGATAGCATGTTTTTGTTAATTAAGATACTTTAACCCTTCGATATTGAGATAAAAAAATAGCGACACTTTTACTGAA